AGGCATGAAATGTTTTTGCAAACAGCAAATAAAAAAATTAACATAAAATAAATTATAATTTATATATGTATATATGTGAAATACTTCAGTTAAAAGTAAAACTCATTAAAACTAATCAGTGCTCATTAGTAGATTACAGATGGTAACCTTTTATGATAGAAATGAATAGATGAAATATAAAACTGTGAGAATATTAGAAAAATGTAACAATATTGTTACGCTGTTTTCAGTTGGTTGAAATTAGTAAAAGAAAGAATACACTATAGTCTGTCTCTTATACACATCTAGATGTGTATAAGAGACAGATTATATGCTAAGTGGTTACTTCACTTTTCGAGATATAAAGTTTTAAATATCATAGTATAGTGAATGACGATTCCTTCTGCCTGTCTCTTATACACATCTAGATGTGTATAAGAGACAGATTATATGCTAAGTGGTTACTTCACTTTTCGAGATATAAAGTTTTAAATATCATAGTATAGTGAATGACGATTCCTTCTGCCTGTCTCTTATACACATCTAGATGTGTATAAGAGACAGATTATATGCTAAGTGGTTACTTCACTTTTCGAGATATAAAGTTTTAAATATCATAGTATAGTGAATGACGATTCCTTCTGCCTGTCTCTTATACACATCTAGATGTGTATAAGAGACAGATTATATGCTAAGTGGTTACTTCACTTTTCGAGATATAAAGTTTTAAATATCATAGTATAGTGAATGACGATTCCTTCTGCCTGTCTCTTATACACATCTAGATGTGTATAAGAGACAGATTATATGCTAAGTGGTTACTTCACTTTTCGAGATATAAAGTTTTAAATATCATAGTATAGTGAATGACGATTCCTTCTGCCTGTCTCTTATACACATCTAGATGTGTATAAGAGACAGATTATATGCTAAGTGGTTACTTCACTTTTCGAGATATAAAGTTTTAAATATCATAGTATAGTGAATGACGATTCCTTCTGCCTGTCTCTTATACACATCTAGATGTGTATAAGAGACAGATTATATGCTAAGTGGTTACTTCACTTTTCGAGATATAAAGTTTTAAATATCATAGTATAGTGAATGACGATTCCTTCTGCCTGTCTCTTATACACATCTAGATGTGTATAAGAGACAGATCTCAGATATTTCGATAAAATTGTGTTTATATTATAAGATGTGTATAAGAGACAGGTATAATAGTAAACACTATTTTGTGTAGTATAATATAAACACAATTTTATCGAAATATCTGAGATATAGACAAATAATAATCTTTTCCTTAATCCTTGAAATTATTTCATTAATGAATGAAATGCAGCTTAGGCTAATTTTGAATAAACACATTCTGAAAGTGTCCCAGCATATTCCAGCCAGTGAAAACATGATAAATTTAATAGAATTTCAAGTGTTTAGATACGATAAAAACATCCTCAGATTCGAATACGCCTCCACAAACATTTGAGAAAAGCATCGTTCATCGTAACTCCGTACTATGCAACAAAAAAATATCTATCCGACAAAAAAACAAACGTATAAGCTCAGAGAACTCTATTGCACACAAAATGGTCATCTATTTTAGCTAATAGTCCTACTTAATCTAAAAGATAAAAGAAGTTCTGCTAAGTACCTGCTGAGGTTTCAGAGAAAGTGGCTTGTAATACTTTTCCCAGTATATGTACACACACGTATAGCGTATACACATGTATATGTATACATGCGAAACCGCCTAATAGCAAGATCTTACTAATTACTGAATAAGAAGCGTGCATCTCTTTCATCGTGAATAGGGTTTGTCTGTAAGGGGGAGGGAGAGGGTGACGACAACGCTTTCGAAGTAGCATAATAATAATTATTGATGTAATAATAGTAGACAAACACCAGATAAGGCAGTGGTTATTCGCAGTTATAGTTGCGGTGAGCAGTCGTGAGGGAGATGCCCCCAAAAGCTACGTGTTAGCCAAAGTTACCGAGGGATTGGAACCGTGCTTCATCACCCATTTAATTTTTCAAATTCGTCAACGCTTGAGAATTCAGTGAATTCACTGCCTTATCGACAGTTAGGGTTTCATGCGAACAGATCGGACTGTGGGATGATCAAACGCGTTCCTCACCCCTGTTAACTTTGAAGGTTAGCAGCATTAAAAGGTTCGAGTTTGCATCAAAGCGCCGCAACGATATTATGAGAATTATTCAATTTGGAAATCGTACGAGTATGTTTCGTCGACGTGTTCGACGAGACAACGCATGCATTTCAACAAATTTAACATATTCAGTAAACACGGCAAATGTAACAAGTTCAACAAATGTAACAAGTTCAACGAGTACAACAAATTCAAGAACTGGTTCTTCTGCATTTTCTGAATGCCAGGCGCTTCTAATGCAGATTCGAGACCCAGATAAAAAACTGGTTACAATAATGAGTCTACCTGTCCGCAGCTGTCTGTGTAGACGACACAGTGAGCGTTTTGGGGGACCACTTGGGCCCCGACAGTGGCTAAGGCTGCTAAGGCGATCCACATGCAGCAAACGAGGCAGTGTTCGGTAAAGTATTTTTTTTTTTTTTTAAGTATTGGTAGCAGTTTTATACATAAATATTTTTTTAATTCATTTTTTTTTTTAATGTAGGCCGTTTATTACCAGTTGATCGAATTCGGTGGAGAAGGCACCAAAAATCAAAATGAAGCACGTCGAACGTGCCCTCGGGGCACCCAGGTACATGTACGAGAGAAAAAAAGGAGTACGAGTATGTTGGTTGTTAATCGTATTGTTTTTCAATATTTTAGGACGATTTTTGTTCGTTGTCGCATTGTTGGTTGAAGGATTTCCACAGAAGGATGTTTAAGAATGTAATATTTTTTTTTTGTTTTTTTTTTTTCGTAATTTTAATCGTTTTCAACGAATTATATATATATATTTTTTTTGTCATTTTGGTGCACAGACAAAAAGTAGTCGATGCGAGGTAGAGGGGTGTAGTGGTAGGAAGAAAAGCCGGGGTTATGTATAAATCGCGTGAAAATAAAAGGATACGCCATGCGGCGACATCGTGTTGTTGTTTACGGAATCGTGTGTCGTTCCCACGTAAACGTATGTAATTTTCGTTTTCATTTTCATTTGTAGTTTTAGTTCGGTGGCAAGTTGATTCATGTACCAGGGTGTATTCGTTGCAACGTTTTGTCGTTGGTGTTGTTTCCGAGTGATAGGGGGGGGGGGCGAACATGACGGCGATAATGCAGTGCACACATACCAAGCCAGCGTTTATCAATAGATTTAGACGTATGTGTACGTGTATAACGTGTACCGATTACGTTATCGTGTCACAGTTGAGAAATCGTGAACGCGTACACGAATTTTACGAAACGAAGCAAATTTAAACAAAAAAAAAAGAAAAATAAATCGTAAAGAGTATATATATATTTTTTTATATTAAAACAATCCGTCACCAAAAATTCGTTGATCAGAAACGATTATAAATCCGTTAATGTGTGAACACAAGCGAATATATGGTATGTGCGCGTGTGTATATGTGGGTTCGTTTGTATGCGCAACGACAACAGTTTGTATTTCGTGTGTGAAGTACGTGAAAATCGGATCGTAGGAGGATAGAAGGACGAAAAGAGGGAAGAGAGAGAGAGGATGGTTAGAGGCAGCCATTAGATATAACGGTAACATGGTAAACGGTTTACGGTGGTTTGTTCCCAGCCCGCAGGACGATAGGAAATGGTCACAATCGCCACATAAATGTAATCAATCGAAGATCGGCGGATCGAGGTTCCGTAGCAGTCGTTGTAGATTCCGAAGAGCAGGGAATAATTCAGGCACGTGTGGCGTTTCAGGATGAATTTCGGGATTGGAGGGTAATTCAGGCACGTGCGTGGTGGACCATGACGGATTGTGGGGATGTTGCGTCGGTTCGTATCGTGGATGGTACCAGGGATGAAAGCGTTGACGGGACGAGATCAAACAGTATGCGTGGTAATTTTCGATCGAAAGACGTGCGTGGTGGATATCCAGGCAGAGGGCAAGCATGAAACAGAAAGTTGAAAGAGTGGTTATGAAACGATCGGCGAGTAAACGTGCAGAGACTGGTATGTGGATCATGTCTGGAACCATTCACTATAATTTGTATATAGCTACGTGGCTAGAAAATTCTCATTCCATTTTCATTCGTGTCAACTAAGTAGGTACAGTCGTTCTTATTCTCTATCAACTATATAACAATTATAAAAATATGTATATATGTATGTAGAGAGAGAGATTTGCACACATAATAAATAATCGTGTTCGCATGCGCTTCAGTTTATATATATGTATATATATATATCTTTTTTTTCTTTGTCGTTCCCGTGGGATGTCGTGTGTCCGTGTATTGTGTGTGTTATTCGTTCGATATCGTACCGATGAAAGCTGAAAACATTGGACTTCGATGATGAGAACGATCCTGTTAAACGACACATCGTTTCCATAATCATACTTTAAATTCTACGAGATAAGAAGTTTACAGGCTGTTTCAAGATATGAGGACGCAGTTGGAAATTATACAGAAGCGTATGGTGTCCTGGCTTATATCAACGAAATTCGAAACGGGAGGGTAGTAAAGTCAGCATCGACGTATTACATCCTTCTTATTTCTTTTTTTGTTTTTTTGTTTAGATAAGTCTATCGTTTATTCGCTTCATGTTTATACGCATCTCGTTGATGGTAACGATGCTTTGTTATGCACATTGAACATTTCTGGACGTATGTATGTTACGGACGAAAGCAGGGAACCAAGTGTTTTGCCAAATATGCATAAACGCACTCGAACGATTCGATAGGATCCCGAATTGAAGTTGTTATTGATCAACATCCACCGTGAATGCAAAATCCACGAACTTTATCTCCCCCGGGAATTTACGATTTTTCGCTGCCGAATAATAGAGAAACCCTTGATGTATTGTTAATTGCGACATCATTATAACATAGTACTGCTGCCGCTAGTAACAATGATAATAACGATGACGATTTTGACGATAATGATGGCGATAACAATAACACGTTCTGTAGAATAGAAATTACGCCCACAAATGATGAAAAGCAATGTCAATTCATAAATATTGTTATTTCGACAAGGAGGATCCAAAGCAAATATCGATTGCCTCGCAGAATCCGTTATTCGATTTGGTTAATTTCAAGAGGATGGTCGAGTCCAGTCCAATCTCTTCAACCGACATCTTTAGGCACATGCGTGAAAATCATTGTGACGTCGACATCGTGTTATAATTGAACGCACGTACAAAATTGAAAGAGAGATTACAAGAAACAAGACCAGGTATAGAGATAGAATTGACAAAGAGATATTTATTTCGTCCATACAATAATAGCGTGGAAAGATACACAAAAGAAATGAATGAGAAACAAGCCAGTACTACCTCCTACGAACATTTTGCGTGGAAGCCGTAAGTGTTCTACTTGTGTACTTTATACAGAAGCGTTCTATCGGATCGAGTATCAATTCATTGATCGTGAAGCTCCAAGTGTTTAAGCTTGCATATGCGTCAAAATAAAGTGCTACTGCGATACTTACATCGGAAAGAGTGCTTCACATCGGTTTCTATAACATATGTTTAACATATAGATAAGACAGAACTGTGAGGTATCCAATGAAAATCAACCGCATACAAAATGGACACGATACTTCGATTTGCTCTCGTCGGACAAGATTCGACTAGCCACCGTGGACAACGATGGAACGACGTTTTCGGAGAAATTTAGACGGTTACCAGAAGTCAGTTCTATCTATCCGTTGATAATCACCGATCGGCCGTCGCACGTTGAACATTCGAGTGCGGCGTTAAACCATCGGTCAAATAGTCCTGGCCGTTCGTGTGCAGTTCCCGGCTTACTTTGCCCCCTGTTCGTGCGGTGCCATGAACATTTATTTACGCATTTACAAAACGTAATGGCATCGACGAGACGTGTCCAGAAACCACGTGAGACGGTGCGCGTTCCGTGTCACTCGCGCATACAGCGGCGTCTCTTTCGCCGTCCGTCGACACGAATGGGAAAATCAAAACTCGAATACCGATTTTAATCGCGTATTCGCATTCGATACTTGCGTTTCCATCGCTTTGGCTTCTTCATATACATATATATATCATATACATCATACAAAATCATACACATATCGCATGTACGTTTGCCGTACGTCATCGGCATACGCGCATACATATACGTACATCGTATATCGTGTGCATCGGCACATACATATACGTTTATCATATATCAATGTACAATGTACGTATATCGTATATCGCATACATATAATTATACGTACATCGTATATCATATACATATACTTGCGCGTACATCGTATATCATATACATTGTATATTTACACCTCTATACCGTATGAAATATACATATACGTATGCGTATGCATCCGTGTGTATCATAATATCATATATATGTGTATGTATGAATATGGAATCACCAAACCTTGATGTACGTACAATATTTACGAGTTCACTTTCTTGACACAGAACGTCGGCAAACAATCTGCGTAGCACTCTTCTCTCCTTTTTGAATCGCAAGGCAGTTTGAAAGCGATCAGAACAGGTGTAGGCCTCGGCGCGATACTTGATGCGATCAGAAGCGTGGATTATTTGATATGAAATAGAGATGCATGTACAGCGTTGTTCCGGCGACACTGCCTTTGAAATCACGACTGGTCGGTAACAAGTGCACCGTGGCTCCCGGTTACCGAGGCACGACGTATTGCAAAGGTCTTTATCCATGTGCCAAGCAGTTACAAAACAATTCAGTAGGCACACGCGCGAATATAAGAAAATTCTTACGCAGGCGAGTAGCGGCGAAATAATATAATTCGAAGCTTGGATATGAAGCTGACCGAACGCAGGATTGGTTAGTTCTGGAAACTGGGAATTATTGCTGAAAAAGATCGACTCGGGCATTTGTCTCGTCGAACTGAATTATTCGATATCATTCGAAGTATACGCAGGTTATTGTCGTTAGATGAAATAGAAATAGAAATTTAAAATAGAAATTTACATTCTTGCGATCCGTAACTAAATGACGATACAATACTTCTATCCTCTATTGTTATTATCAGTTCTAATCATTGACGAACAAAATTGACAAAACCGACTGAAATGATTCAAGTTCTAAATCATATTAAAGTCTACAGTAATAATTGTTCGATCAAGTAATTATATCCAAAACATTCTTATCATTTTTACTATTAACGATAAACAGATTAAATTAATTTGCTGATTAAAGTCGTATTTCAGTATGCGATAAATTTACATGTACACATAAAAAGACTACTTAGTGCATCTGTTTCCATGACATAATTGAAATGAAAAGAAGAAGCCATTAACGTAATTGAAAGAGGAAGTTGAACAAATTTCTTTAATGAAACAACCATGTTTTCATAATACCTTTGTAAATATTAAGAGAAGATAAATTGTATTGCAACAACTTCTGTTTCGTGTATATTTCAAGTCGGCAATCTTCACAGACGATAAGGTATATTCTT